TTTTGGCCTTTGCAATACGTCGGGAACATTCGAGCATGCCATGAATAGGATCTTTCATGACTACTTGAATAAGTTCATCGTCGTGTACCTCGACGATATACTTATCTTCAAAAGGATTGTCGAGGAGCATGCCCAACATGTAGAAACCACACTTTCACTCCTACGACAACACAGGTATAAATAAACTTAGAGAAATGCGAGTTCGGTCGCACTAGAATCTTGTAGTTGGGTCATGAGATATCCGCGAAAGGAGTTAGGCCCGAAGATGCAAAGGTGGCTAGCATTTGTGACTGACCACGACCCCAGTCTGTGACCGAGGTCATATCATTCTTAGGGATGTGTGGCTACTATCGTAACTTTGTGAAGAACTATAGTACGATCGCCTCCCTTTTGACTGATCTAACACGCCTTGACACCTTGGGAATGGACATATGCATGTGAGGCCGCTTTCAAAAGGTTGAAGTACACCCTCACACATCATGAGATTCTCATGGTCCCCGGTCCGGAGAGGCTATTCGCTGTGGCCACTGACGCAAGCCAATACGACATTGGCGCAGTGCTGGCCCAACAGCAAGGAAAGAAGTTAAGGCCAATAAAGAACATGAGTAAGAAGATGCCATCCAAGAAATTGGCAAAGTCCACCTATGAAAGGGAACTCTATGCCCTTTACAAAGCCCTTGTCCACTTTAGACACTATCTGCTTGGAAGGTTTTTTTATTTGAGAACTGACCATCAGACACTCAAGTGGATCAAGACACAACGCGTCCTCTCCGACACACTCAAACGCTGGATTGAAGTCATAGATCGTATGACTTCAAGCGAGATACGTAAAGGGAGAGTACAATAAGGTTGCTGATGCGTTATCACGTAGGGCATACTACCTAGGTACACTGATTGCTAAATTTGGCTCATCCGATGATGAAACACGGTGTTTGGTGGAAGCCTACAAGGAAGATCCCGTCATGATGGATATCATACGCAAACTTGAGGCCCAAGACAAGGCAACATCTTGTGTTGGTGGACGGTTTACTCTTTCTTGAGAAGGCAGGTCTTAAAAGGTTGTGTGTTCCTTCTAGAGAGATTCTTCGTACTTTGTTTTTATGAGATTGTCACCACGCAACCGGTCACTTCGGCTATAAGAAGACTAGTGCTATTTTAGTGCAGCATTTCTGGTGGCCTAATATGCTTGACGATGTAAGGAAGTACATACAGACTTGTCAAGTTTGTCAGTGGGACAAGCCGCGAACTCAAGCTTCACTTGGGTTATGAGGCCATTGCCCATTCCTGCTGGTCCGGGAGAGAGTGTCTCCATGGACTTCATGGATACCCGCGTGACCAGCAAGAGTGGCAAAAGGCACATATTCGTTGTAGTTGATAGGTTTACTAAATACGGTAGACTAATCCCTATGCCAGCAACAGCGAAAACGGAGCATGTCATCAAGTTATTCATGGATAATTGGGTGCGTGACTTTGGACTGCCCAAAACGATTGTCAGTGACAAAGATGTTCGATTCACAAGTGAAATGTGGAAGAAGGCTGCTAAACAGATGGGCAGTCAACTCCAAATGACTTCGGGGAATCACCCATAAGCAAATGGTTAAGCGGAACAGATGAACCGTGTGGTGCAGCATCTGCTGAGGCATTACATCAAGCCCAACCAAGATGACTTGGATGAGAAACTTCCTCTCATCGCTGGCGTATGTCCCAACCAGTTGTAAACAGCTCCAACGACATTTAGGGTGGAAGCCTAGATCTGCTCTAGACTTCCTCCTACATGAAAATCGACCCACTGCAATACGTGGAACCATTGAATTTGGTGTCCTGTATGAGAAACTGTTGCAGCAGGCTGTCAAGCATATCAGAAAGTCTCAAGATGCAATGATTGCCTCTGAGAACAAGCATCGACGACAGTCCACATTTCAGGTAGGGGAACGCATCTGGGTAAAGGCTAGTGAACTGGGACAGGAGTTTGGCATCTCTAGGAAGTTATTGCTGCAGTACTTTGGTCGATGGGAAGTCCTAGACATTGTGGGAGTGATCTAGATGGTCCCTCGTACATCATCAGAATCCCTGGTCATCTGTGCACTTACCCTGTATTTCACGCTTCCAAACTTGCACGTTTTGCTGAGACAGAACTGTGCCCAATAAGAACGTCAATGCTGCCCCCAACCATGGATGGCCACGTGGACGTCGGCGACATCTTGGACCACAGAGATTTGCCTGTTCGCAAGCCTGCTGGCAGGGGTACCACCCAAACCTATGAGGGAGTACCGGGTCAGGTTCAGGCATCGTACAGATCCAAAAGAAGATCGTTGGTTCACAAGACAGGAGCTTGTCAAGACATCACCTCAGATCGTGGCTGAGTATGAATGAAGACCGAAGGGGAAGGCACCTGCGTAGAAGCATCTCAGCGGACTTTCGAAGCTAAGGGGGATGGAATGCGAGGAATGAGGCTCGCAGAGCCCTTATCAAACATACAAGTGTTTTGGGCTGTGCTTCCCTGCAAGCCTCGTGCCCGCCCCAAGTGAAGGCCGGCCTGAATATCCACGTGAGTCTGTTCTCGACAATTTTTCCATATGTGGGTACTCAGACAGTTGCAGAACGCCAGTTGGTTACAGAGCAACGCAAGCCTCCAGGCTGTTTCCAGAAGCAAAGGGCTGTGCTGTACAGTTGAGCCCAGGGCTCAGGCGGTTGTGCCCTGGGCACACGCTGTGTGAGGCCGACACATCCCGGACTGTTTGTGGGCCAATGAGGAAGCAGCATTGTCATCAAACATGTGCCGCAAGCCAATGAGAATGCTGCAACCACTTTGGAGGCTGGGAGGCTGCCTGGACGTGCCGAACTGCACGAGGCCCAATCCAGTTTCGGAAACTGGGCCTGGGCGCAGACACTTGGGGCCCAACTGAAGCGACTGGGACCCCACACGCCAGGCCAGGACAGCCAGCAGCTACACACTTTCCATAAAGGAAAGCGTGAGCCCCTGGGAGAGGCATTCTGGCCTAGGCAGGCGATGCGGACACGCTGCTGCATTGCTGCGCAAGTGTTTGCATGGGCGCTGCTGGTCGGACGTGCGCATGGGCGCAGGGGTGAGAGGGGCGCTGCTGAGGCAGCGGGCGCACAGCAGCCATAGCTGGGCAGCTGGGGCGCAGGGCAGGTCATGGCGAAGGTGGTCTTCGGGTAGGAGGCGCATGATGTGGGGAGACGAGGGGTGGTGACGAGAGGAGAGAGAACGTACCTGGTGTATGCTGGTGATCGGCATTGGTGTTGATGTCATGTACATTGGTCTTCGACTTCAGAGTGATCCAGTTGCGAGAACGTAGATAGGCTAGATAGGCTGGGCGCTGGGCGCCAGACAGTAAGTGCGACATTGGATACAGTGTTGGTGTGACCAGAGAGTGGGGACATTGACGTTCGAGTTCATTGTATTGCTCTTATTTGGACGGTATCTGGGTGCATTGCACTCTGTGCTTGGTTAATGACTATCTGAGCTACTCATGATTTTGCAACTTGGATTTCTGTCTATCCCTCTCGCTCTAATTCCTTGCACTTGTTAAGAACGGCTTCATATTCACTCCCCAAGATTGACCAGTACTCCATCCAGAATTCCTCCCTGGTTAAGCCGTCCTGTGCTGGGGTCTTGCCCGGCGACATTGACTTAAGGGCCTCCCACAGCTCCTCCTGCGACAGGGGAGCATCCAACATCTCCGCCTGAGGGGCCGGAATAGTCCGTTCCAGATGTGTTAAAAATTTTGCTCTCGCTTCGCTGACCTGCTGCCTTGGAAAATTGGCCTCTCGCGACGTGTACAGTTTGCTATAGAAGTTGTGAGCCACCACTACCATTCCTGCTGCTGTCCCTGTCAGTCCTTCTGGGCCCTCCAACTGCTCTATTGCTGCACTCTGGCCCCTATTCTTGAATTTTTTTAAATATCCAGGTTGAGATGTCGAGGGGGGAAAAAAAAAAGGGATAAGAGGAAAAGAACTGGTACCTTGTCACGAGCCAAAGAAGATAAACAAGTGTAACTATTGGCGAAGTACAACCATGACTTCAATCCAAGGGATTGTCTCTAATGTTAACCCACCAGTACCTCCGGACCAGACCCGCCAAGCTAATGATGCCCGACACTGTACCAGTTTCTGGCAGTCCTGGAGTGGAAAACCCAAGTCTGTTGTAGGCACAAAAGAAGGAAAGAGCAGGCCCTTGGGTGTAGAGGCGGCCTCTTTTCCTGAGGAAGATTTGTGCTGTGCACCAGAAAAAAAAAAGAACTGTTGTGGCTCAAAATTTTTCCATTTTGGCTGGTGCCGCCAGCCAAAGAGATCTGGTAGTTAACCCCCCCGAAAATCGCGGTTGTAAATGAAGTTTAACAAATGCATCGGAACATAAATGAAGTTTAACAAATGCATCGGAACATAGATGAAGTTTAACAAATGCATCGGAGCATAAATGAAGTTTAACAAAGGCATCGGAACAAAACGCCTGTGACAGGTCCTGGTGGTTTAAGAGACAAAAGTCGTCCTGACTCCTGACCCAGGCTTTCACCCTTCGTGCTTCTGTCACTTCTTCCTCTTCTCTCACCTTATTGCATGAGGACATGTGTGTACACCGTGCAGTCATACGGCAGTTTGAATGGCTTGGTAGTCCCTAGCTTTTTTATATCCATCCGATTAATGCATTGAGCACTTGGCTTGGGGAGAAGCATCAGGATTTGAACTCCTTATCTGCTGCTGCTCATCAATAGTTTGATATGAATGCATGCACCACTCAGCCACAGTGGTGAGGGGTACCTTGTCTCAGCTTCTGCCATCTGGAATACTGTGAGTGTTTCTGCCACCACATGCATCTGGTTTCTTCTTTGGAGCTCCCTTCTCTTTTTTTTTTTTTTTTTTTTCATGTGTTAAATTCTGTTTATGTTTTCTTTGTTCGATATATAGTATATAGTATATACATGATATTGGTTACAAGAAGTTGACCGCCGGTCGTTAAAATCGGTGATGTCAAACAGGTTGTTGGTGAGAAAAAGGAAACCGGATTCGGATTGGTGCTGTGCCACATCGAGCTGAGCCGCACGGAGAGGAGCCATCAAGATGGTGCCCTGGGGGCTTATCCTAAGTGGTGCCGCCTGGGCCATGTTTCCACAGCATAAGGGAGTGATTCTTGCAGTTGGGGCGGCAACGTCCGTGATGAGAATCAAGCGCCGGCAAGATTGCGCATTTGCATTGCCACCTGGTGAACCGAATGCTGCCGCCAAGGAGGGGTCAAATCCGAACAATGCTGGTGGAGACTCCGTTGCCGATGGCGATGACGAGGGATACTCAGAAGCAGGCATACGCATGGTGAGACTGGAGTGGGAGAACATTAGTTGCGAGCTCAAGAAAAGGCAAAAAGGGGAGGTAAGTTGCAATGGAGAAGGTGAAGGACACAGTGCATAGACAACCTTTTGGTTTTTGTGTGTTTCGTCTTGTTGAATCCGGTCGTGTTACCTCCTTAACATATGTGTTTTCTCCATGTATCACATTAGTGCGCAAGGGGGGGAGGGGGAGGAGGAGGAATGGGAGGAGAGCAGCTAGGAGGAGTGAGAGGAGAACAGTAGGTGGAGGAGGAGGAGAAAGGAGAGGAGGAGGTGGAGGGTGAGGAGGTAGTCGGAGGATAAGAAGAAGAAGAAGAAGAAGAAGAAGA